AACTACAAACCAACCGTGGACCCAGTTGGACCACGTGGCCATCAGTCACCGGTGGAGAGCCACAATTCAAGACTGCCGTTCTTTCTGGGGCACACCACTTGATTCCGATCACGCCGTGGTGCGCGCACTTTTGACAGTTCGTTTCCCTTCAGACCATTGCAAGTCGGCAAGAAGCATTCCAATCCACTACCTTCGAGGAACCGCCATAACTCAACAGTACCGATCTGAACTAGCCCAACAACTCTCCACAGTAAAACAATACTGTGGTGGCAGTGAGCATGTGGATGAAGCGTGGCAAAATGTGAAGGGATCTATGCTAGCGGCGTTCGGTACTGTCTGCCAGACTTCTCCAATTCGATCACAGGACCACTGGATGTCGTCGAGGTCGTTATCCATGATTGATGCCAGGAAAGCCATACCAGCAGGCAACGAGTACGACGGTGCACGCAAAGCCCTCAAACGCCAAATAGTGAAGAGTCTAAGGAAAGACCGAGAGCTCTGGTGGACATCAAAAGCTCGGGAGATGGAGAAGGCTTTTGCAACGGGAAACAGCCGTGCCCTATATCAACTGATACGATCGACTGGCCCTAGGAAAGCAACTGTCAGCGGAACGATAAGTGGAAAAGATAGCTCACTAATTCACTTGCAAAAACGTTAACTGGAAAGATGGGCCGAACACTTCGAAGGACAGTTCAGCTGGCCTCCTGCCACACAGCCTATGGAGATAATGCATACAGGCGAAGGGAATGTAAGCCTTGGTCGCCCTTCGGAAGAGGAAATAAAGTACAAAATACCCGTACTGAAGCATGACAAAACACAAGGCCCGGATGGTCTGTATCCACCTTTTCAAATTAGGCGGAGAATCCCCGGTGACCCATTTGACAAAACTTATCGGTACTGTATGGAACGAAGAGGTGCCTGAGGGATGGGGTATACCAACAGTTATCCACATCTTCAAAAAGGGTACGCGGACGCGAAAACCACGATGGCATCGGCCTGTTAGCTGTGTTATCGAAGGCGCCCTATCCTTCGAAGGTTGACTGAACACAGGGAGAGACATCCGTGAAAACCAAGCTGGGTTCCGTCCTGCAAAAGGATTCGTCGATCATATCTTCGCCCTCCGATGGGTCTTGGAACAGCGACACTGCTTCCAGCAACCAACATTGGTTGTGTTCCTCGATCTGAAAATTGCTTTTGATTCTGTGGACCGCCAGGCACCATGAATGTCTGTGGGGCAAAGATGTCCTTAAAGCGTTGTACGCCAACTCCCGCGGCTGTGTGTAGGTCTACGGGGAGCTCTCATCTGAGTTCACCACGTCAAGTAGTGTCAGACAGGGTGTCCTCCTCCACCTCTCCTCTTCAACTTCGTCATTGGTACTATTGCGGTACACTCGCTTTCGGCCTATAGTGCTTGTGGAGTGGAGGTGCTCCCGGGGCGTCCGCTCATAGATATTGGTGCTCCCGGTCCGCTCATAGATATTGAGTATGCAGACGACCTAGCTCTTCTTGGATCTAACCTCGTGGTAATGAAAACAATATGGCTCGCTCTCTCTCTCTATATATATATATATA